GTCCTTGTTTCACATCTCACTGAAAATCACTCACCTCATAGTTCTCTTTTAAGACTGACAGGGTTAAATTGCTATCAGTTTTTTTGATAGCCGAGTCTCATTATGGAGATTTTCCTTCTCTTTCTGTCTTGTAGACCCAACAGGAAGTGTGAGGATATCTTCCCATTGTGAGGGAATTCCCCTATTCGATAGTTGTCACAGAATCAAACATCCCCGTTGGAAGATTTCCCCTCTATTCCTATTCTGGGGGCAACACCAAATTTTGGATTTACGCTCCCTTTTAGTCTAAGTGGTGATCAGGACAATTACTGAAGGTGAATCCCCCTCACAGGGACAGAGAGCAATAAAAACCCGACCATGGTTCAAACAGCTCATCATTCTAGCAAACTCTGCCTTTAGGTCCACACGGGTACTGCTGCATGAGTGTGCGTTTTTGTAGCATGTTCCCGCGCAGTTTTGATGGGCTTTTAATGCATTTTCATGTATTTTACTTTTAGCCAATGACTAGCAATATCTGCTCTAGCATAGTCAAAAACCCATAAAAAAATGCATATTCATACTTTTTCATTGAAGTCTATGGGGCAACGCACACTGCAGAGCTGCCACAACACCCGGCTGGGGCTCATGCCTGCAGATGCCAGAGTCTTGCAATACATCATGTGACTTGTAGTTCTATAAACAGCTGGACTACTGTGGTTGTGTACCCCTGATCTATATGGGCCCTGTTGCTTTGCACCAATTATCTATGGAGTGCAGGTTATCTAGTTTACTGTATACAGTATATATATATATATATCAACGTAGAAGAAAAATCGCAGTATGACCCCCAAGATGCTGGGGTTTTTTTCCTAAAACAATAAAATTAATCTTTTTCTGAGTCCTTCTCCATATGACACTCAAGCTGCAAACACCAGAAAGGAAAATTTCAACTTTTCAGTTCAAAAAGTGACATAAAGAGTTAATAATTCAGGCAAAAAAACATTTTTTTGCCCCCCCCCCCCTCCTCCATGTGACCCAAAGAGATGCCGCCAGAGGCCACTGCCTGAGCCCTATGACTAGTCACCACTGCCTAGTCCCTATGCCTCATTATAGGGACAGCCCCGGGTATGATTACATGTGGCTTGGGATAGATGATTGTGGATGCTGGAAAGACACATCCAACAACAGTCATCTATTCCAAACCGCATGCAAATGTACCATGTGTGGACAGATGCAGCCGCTGTCACCCTGTCATTAACTTCAATGGTTGCAGCGGCCGCATCTGAACAGGGACACTTGGTATTCCTGCCACAAGAATCCACAGCCTCCAGTTTTCAGGGTGATAAATAGGCATTAATGCTAATGTGAAAGGGGGGCTCTGATGTGAAAGGCAGGATGCTAATGTGAAAGGGGGGCTCTGATGTAGAAGGGGGCTCCTGATTTGAAAGGCAGGATTCTAATGTGAAAGGGGGGCTCTGATGTGAAAGCGGGATTCTAATGTAAAAGTGAGGATTCTGATGTGAAGGGGGGGCTCCTGATTTGAAAGGAGGGCTTTGATGTGAAGGGAGGAACCCCACTTTTTGTGCCTTTATGTGGGTTCCCCCCTTAATATCCACTTCTTTTTTTGACTGGGGTGTCTCAAGATTTTGCATACTTTTAAAGGGTGCCGTGACCGAAAAAAGGTTGAGAAACGCTGGTCTAGATAGTGAATGAATCAGTGTTCTCTTGTTCAGCTAGGGGGGCTATATGAGACAAGACTATATATGAACGGCCAGTCTCTTACCCAGATCCTCAGGTAGGAGTACAAAATCCAGGAGCGGTTCTGATCCTTCTCAACCCTAGAACAGAAAATGTTTTGGCTGGACATCCAGTTTAATTAAAGTGGTCTGACTAGTACTTCTGGTGTCAATGGCATTCTGCTGTGACAGATGAAAACACACAATAAAATGCCATTATTAGGTAGGTGTGTGTGTGTGTGTATGGAAATATTCAGAATGAACAGAGCTCGCTTCTAGCCTGTCTGGTCCTGGGAGGTAATGAAGTTAAACTGATGGAGGGATGAGATGGTATAATTCAATGAATAAAGCAGTGCAGGAAATTGGAAACTCAGTGATGTGCCATTAACGCTATAAAGACTTCATGTCAATGTAAAATCTGCCTCCTCCTCCTCCTCGTCTGGTTCATCATGCCATATTGCCAGCCATTGTGTGTTCTGGGCAGGACGTGATACATTTCTATGAGGTGTCTGAAGCCAGCTATCCATCTCCCCATCAGCGCCCCTGGCAGTTGCGAGTTTTGACCCTATTAGCTAGTGACCTTCCACTCAGCCCCAGGGGAAAGACACTAATAATGGCCCCTCCACCCTCCCTCAGCCAACCCAGAAAGATTTCATGTCAGATAGCACTGCTGTCTGCGTGCACTAAGACCACGTTTCTCACAAATCCTCTCTTACAGGTACAGCTCACATATTTTCAGCTATAAAAGCAAATACAATAAAATTATATGATTGCCATGTGTGCTTTGAAGTATAGACAGAAAAAAGTGACCCCAGTATTAGTCAGTTCTGTTTCACTAAGCAAGTGACAACTTTCAACACTACTAAGTGACTAAGTGCCCGGTCACACTAGTCCACCTGCTAAAACATTGCATTTTGGTCAAAAACTAAAAGTAAATATGTATTTCTATTGTGTCACCGCTCTCACAGAGCCTGCCTTCTGAACTACAACTCAATGTCTGAACAACGTAACATAATTGCTTGCTGGAAGTGATGCATGATGGGTTATGTAGTCTTAAGAAATGGAGATTGCATCATATCAAGCAGCAGGGAAAGAGATGCAAAGCACACTGGGAATCCAGGAAGTTGTTGTAAGTGATGAGCAGACAGAAGGCAGCACTCACTACATAAAGGGGATTTTTTTCACATACTCTTGGATTGTATTATTAAAAACAATGCTAGTATGTATTCCTATTAGGGATGTCCCGATACCGATGCTAGCATCGGAATCGGGCCCGATACAGGGCATTTTGACAAGTACTTGTACTTGTCAAAATGCCCCGAAGCCTAGCGCCGAAGCTTACGCTATGTTTTTTTTCTTTTTCTTCTTACTTACCTCGCCATCTAATTCCTATTACAGTGCTAATGTTATAACAGGATAGTATGTGCTGGGACGTTACAACTCCTTTAATTATAGTAGTTGAGGTGGGAAAGGTGGTTCTGTGTCCTGAGCAGTCATCGGCCTTTATATAGAAGGTTCTGATAAGGGTGCCTCAGGCATCAGTCTCACTGCAGTGACCCCCCTCCCCATTGTAGACGAGACATGATTATGTAGCTTATCATCTCTTTGTCTTTTAACCTCTTGCCGTCCGCCCGTAGTAAAAAAACGGACGGACGGCACTGCAGCATCGGCAATTTTTTTCTGCTCGCGCGCGCCCCCTAGCGGGCACGCACGGGCAGAAAAGACCCGCTAAATGCACACACCCGTTACCGGGACTGAATACTGAAAAATGGCCTGGATGGGAAGGGGGTTTAACACCGCGGATGTCAACTGGTTAAAAAGCAGGAATTGTCTAATAAATGCTGTTGATGTTAAAACTGTGAACACCCTAAGCCCTGGTTCACACCTAGGCGTATTGCATATGCGCGTCTGTCGCGCGGTTTTTTTACCGTGATTCGCGGTTTTACCGTGATTTACGCGCGTTTCCGAGGGCTACTTGGCTGTATCCCAATGGAAACGTGCAACAAAAACGGCCCAAAGTAGTACATGTACCTTTTCAGGCGTGGGTTGTTTTGTAGCGTGTTAGGGACGTGCTGAAATACGCCAAGGTGTGAACCAGACCCATTGAATACAATGGGATTTAGATGTTTGAGCGTTTTGTAGAGCGTTCGTCGAGCGTAGAACACGCTACAAAATGTTCAGGTGTGAACGAGGGCTTAATCACAGCAAATAAATGATTTCTTTAGTGATCATGTCTGTGATTTGATGATTTAACTATAGTTCTTGTGAACTCTAACCAGGACATTTTGCTGCTAAAGTATTGTGTATGAGATACCTGCCTTATTTTTAACAAATAACTGGTTTTCATTCTTTGTTGCATTTCAGTGTTGCTGATCTCCTACAGCATGTTTGCAGCCACTTCCTGTCTACATGCATGCAGTCTAGACATGGCTGCATGGCATTTCTTAGGGTGACCTTCCTAATGGTGAGAACAGCTGACAGAGCATCGTTACCCCAGCACTGTACCTGCACAAGGACCTTCAAGGCTCAGTCACCAGGTTAATATTTGAAAGTTGAACTCCAGGAATTAAAAAAAGAAAAAAAATATATAACATTGCAATCAAAGGCAATCAGGGCTCACCTCTTCGATCTGACACCCTGGGTTGTGGACGGGCCCTTCCTGTCTTCATGTACAGTGCAGAACTATTAGTCTGACATTATATGTGTCGGCTGGAAATATATACAGCTTGTTCCTCTACCCCTAGATTTAATGAGCATTTAACCATGAAGATGTAAACATTATATATACACTAAACTCTCTGTTATCCAGTATTCAACTAACCAGAACTCTCATCTAGCCAGAAAAAACATTCCGTTTACTCACTGTTCTGCTGATCTGCGGCATGTATTATCCTGGAAACGATCGTGTGCCTATTTGTCTTAATTTGCTTTGATTACTGCATTTCAATATTAATATGAAGTCGATACAGAGTTTATGTTATGGTATGGTATAGTATGGGGTATTTTTAATAGTAACTCTCAAGAAACCAGAAACTACATTTATCCAGAATCTACCAATCCTTGTAGATGCTGGATAACGGGGAGTTTAATATATATA